TTTATTTTTTTTATTAATTTTTAAATTTATAATTCATGATTACCTCATTAAAAATTTTACCAAGAAAAACCCAATTGGGATAAAAACTTGGCAAGGAAAAAAGAGTGCAATCATATTGTGACGAATTACAAATTTTATAAACTTACAAAGTTATACAATTACAAATACAATGTCAAAGGTAAATACATATTTACAAATTACAAATTTACAATTTAATTTAAAGCTAAAGGATCGTCTTCAATATTAAATGTTAATTGATTAAATTCATCGATCCATTATTAGCTTGCCGGTGAAATTGTATCTTGTAAATGTTGATCGGCCCGATCCCAATCCTTAATGCAAACCAAGGCTTCAATCAACATTGAGTGACTGGTCTTTTAAAATAGAGATCATCAAATAGCGATGAAGTTATTAAACCAAACCAATCATTGAGTGACTTTTGATAAATTATCAATTTACTTTGGTATGCAAGTAGAAAGTTACTTTGATATAGAGTTACAAAGAGAGTGAAGAAAGTTGAAGAAAAAAGTGGATAATTAAGAGGATGATGAGAGATTGTGAATAGAAAAATAGATAAAGATAGAAAGAAGAGTGATATAGAATAGAAAAACACGAGTATCTATAAGAACAAAACCGGCATTATATAGAAACAACACTTTTTAAAAATAAAAAATAATAAAAACGTGATGGCAATGTGTTTCTTTCCTTGTGTATATTGTTTTTTGAGGAATCATTTTATCATGTGATTGATTATAAAAAAGGGTCAAGAATGTGAAAACTGAAATATTAAACTGCTAAAATAGGAATTTGCTCTTTCTATTAAGGAATTGTGTGTTTACCTTAATTAAAAAGTTAAAAATTTAAATAACAAATATGGGCATTGGGTCTAGTGGTATGATTCTTGTTTTGGGTGTGAGAGGTCCCGAGTTCGATTCTCGGAATGCCCCAATTTGTAGCAACTAATATTTTCGGGCGGTTTTGGACAAAATTAGGGTTTTCGGGCTAATTTTCAGGTCGGGCAATTCGGGCGGGTCGGGCATGGTCGGAAAATTCAAAAAAAATCCGGCGGACGGCGGTATAGGGCGGTTAGACGGCGGCGGGCAAGAGAGTCAGTGTCAAATTTGGGCTGCCCGAGCCCGAACCCAAAAATCTAGCTTGGGCCCGCCTGAGCCCGAAAAAATTCAGGCTTCGGGCAGCCCGCCGACCCGAACCCAGCACTACCTCCAAAAAGCACTCAAATCATCTCTCTCAATACAAGTGCTCACCCCTATCTCACAACCCAATAAAAATTCATCAAGAGGCGTACAAAGACTTAAGGAACACTTTCAATAAATAAGCAAGTTGTGAATAGCTTGACACATCTTCAATTAATTCGCTGAACCACATCTGTTGCAGATCTTGTTGTAACAACACTGCAACATAGCTGTTACGGCCAACTTTCCAAAACCAGACGAATCAATCTTCTTTTAATTCTGAAATCTTCCCAAAATTAATATATGAACCTGGACACGTTCTTAGGAGGCAGAGGAAGATCATCCAGCTATGAAATCTCAATCAAGAATCAATCAAATCAATTTTCCATCTTTGAATCAGATGACTTAGAAAAATGGAAACTAAAACAAGTTTTTGGATTTTTTGAAACCTGCCAAAGGAAACTTGCCAGCTGCAAAGACATTTCCAAACGCAATCATCCCAGCAAAACATTCCCAAAATAATGCCAATCAAATCCGATTACAATCAATACACAAATTAGGAAACAAATCCCAACAGAAAATTCTATGACTATTTATGTGATCTTAAATATTTTATATAAATGTTATATGCGAGATGATAATATTTAAGGATAATAATCAAAATGATGTTCGTAATAAATTAAATTAAAATTTAAAATCTTTAATTAAAACATTACTAATACATGTCATTCATATTTAGAATGAAATGATGTTATTTGCACTGTTAATATGACACTTTAAGTTTATCGACACCTCAAGTTTTTATTAAGGCAACCCAATATATTTAAAAATTTATTTTAAAATTAAAATCTCATATAATTTGATAAACACTATTATATACACCTCATATTTTTCCATATTTAAAAAAAAAAGGTTTCTTAAAAAGATTTCCTTTCCTATTTTTTAGCTAAATCTTTCCATTTGAACGTATACCAAAATTATTCTCTTAATGAATGTTTCAAGCTTCTCAAAATAAAATGAATGACGTTTGTTTGAACAGAGCTTTTAAGAAGCTTTAATGGCGTGAAGAAAAAACCAGTAGCATATGCTAGCAAAGAGAAAAAAAAAAAAAGGGAGAAAGAGGGAAATAAGCCAAGACTTGAGATGAATTAAAATTAATAGGTCAATAGTTTACATAAGTTAATAAATAGGCCAAATTATTATTTTTGTCCATAATTTGTCTGGTTATGAACTATAATTTCACAAGTTATTGTCCATAATTGTCCATAACTTATCTGGTTATGAACCATAACTTGACAAGTTTGTCCATAACTTATCTGGTTATGAACCATAACTTGACAAGTTATGGCCTATTAATTTCTATAACTAAAAATTGGCCTATATACTTTCTTAAGCTTTTCATATTGGCCTATTTTCTACTATTTTCCAAAAAAAAAAAAAAAAAAAAAGCTGAACCAGTAGTTTCTCTCATGAAAACTCATTATCCAAGCGTTCTGTCTGTTTTTTCTTTTTTTTTTCTAATTATTAAGTATCATAATTGAAGCCTTCATCAACGTCTACTCTCTTATTATGTGAATAAGGAAGAAGGAAATTCGAATTCAGTCATGGTAATATTTTAAAAAGGCCATTCTGATAATTTTAAAAATCTTTGGTCATTATTTAAACTTGATTTCCATAATAAAAAAAAAGATAAATGCAGAAAATTTTTGCTCAAATTTTTGTTGGATTTTTTCCCTTTAACTTCGATAACCAACCAAAAGTTTTGCACAGAATATGATCCACATTCTTCCATCAATCAGAAATGTGCTTAACCATGTTCAAAATCACGATCCTTGGATGCCCACGTTGCCCACTGCCGGTGCACGTCCACAAAGCACTCTGTAATGGGTAGAGTGTATAAGAGAGGATAGAGCATACTTGGTTTGGTCCTTGAGCCTGCAATCTCCATTCATTCGAGTTATGCACCATCAATGAGAGATTGAGTGAGGTTTAGAAGAGTCTTAACCGAATCAGACACTTTTCATAACCTTGAGTGAGTGAAAACGACAATGGCGGGAGGTGTGTTTCGATCCGATATATTTATTCCACATTTGATCTAATTGCTATTTAGGATTGTTAAGAGCATGTTTAGATCATTAAGAAATTCTAACATTTTGGCATCAGAGCCTTAGTTTGCCTCTGCCTTGTTTCCTTTTTCTTCGTTCTGTCAAAATATTGTAGGAGAAATTTTTTTTGGCAAATTATCATTTAGACGTTTTTTTATGAAAACTGAGATTAGGAATCATTGGGAAATCGAATTTCTATCATTTCTGAGTTTTAAACATCAATTTTGGTCGTCAAAATCGAGAGAAAAAAATTGGATTTCATTTCGGGTTGAAACCGGGTTGAAAACGACCCGGCTGAAGGTTGAGGATGATTCAAC